ATTGCTGATTGCCTTGTGATTTTTAAATGCTGTCAATTTAGTTACTGTTACCAGCAGAACATTAATGACTTGTAATAATCCTTCAGGTTGGCAGATGTGATCCAGAGTGCTTCCTCATGTAAGGGAGAGAGAAGGTGGGGTTTATTTGCAAGCTGCTAGAAGGGCAGTAACTTCCATATGTCATACTTGTCCCAAAGAGCTTTATATGTAACTTCAGGCACAGGAGGGAGTTTGCTGGCTTGTAGAATAGATCAGTTTGCTGAGAGGTGCTGTATGTGACTGCTCCTCTGTTGGCTTCCTGACATACAAAGCCCTGGTCTTGCCACATTTTTATGGCAGTTGTGTGCTCCAGGTATTGCTTCCAGGCAAAAAAAACAGTTAGTGCAGAAGGTCGTAGGAGAGCTTAGTGTTAGCTCTTTATTGTTTTGCAGTCTTTGGCATCTTTGAACTTACAGAAAAAAGTTACTGCATCAAACAAAAGTGTTTGTGGTTGATTCGAGTGGGTTTTTTTTGTCGCGTGGATGGGTTTTTGTAGGTGAGTGGTCAATACTTAGAGCGGTTTAGGAAACCTGCTCACAGACTGCAATGCTTATTTGCATTCACAGCTGGAATTGTGCTGAAAGTGAGTCATCATTCTGCTTTCCCCAACCTGTGAATTGAGGATTTCAGCCTTCAGTCAACAGGCTTTCCCCCTGCTTGTTCTTCAGCTTCATTCTGAAAGCTGCTGCTGTGGTGTGTTTGGTTTTTTGTTTGTTTTGGGTTTTTTTGGTTGTTTTTGGTTGTGTATTTTTTTTTTAAATGATACTCTAATATAAATGATCAGAGTAAAACAGTTGATGCACTTGCTCTTGGTACATTTTTCTCTAGTGATTGGCTACCTAACTTTTGCATTTGGGGACGTTAGTGTATTCAAGGAGTAGTTTTTAGTTTGGAAGATGAAGATTTTTGTGGAGGGTTTCTTTTCTTTTTTTGAGGAAATGAGTTTTATGGAATTTACTCAAACTGAATAATGTCAGGGATTGTATGAAGTGTAAATATTTGCAGGTTTTTTGTGCTCTGTTGCAAAATACTGTTTCTGTTGTGTTAACTCTTCTCTCAAATGAGTATTGACTTTTAATTAAATCTTTACTGTATCTAAAACATTTAAAGAGATTCTATGTACTATTTGCTAGTTTTAAGCAGAGCAGTTTCCCTTTCCCTAATTGAAAGTTAGGTCTGCATGCTGAATCTGTTCAGGTGAGAGACACTCTGATTTTTGGTGCTATGGAAGTATCGACTACAGTATTGACTACATTTTTTTTTTTTTCTTTGTTTCTTTTTGAGCACTGTTCAGATGACCTCCACTTAAATTTCTGAGACTTTATTTCTTTTAGGGTCCAGATATTTAAGGTACAGTTAAAGTCAGCTCTTCGGCAAGGAGAGGTATGTAAGTAGAATGAAACTTGTTACAGAGGATGAATTGATTATAAGAGTGGTGTTCTGGCAAGAGAATGTGGGAGGACTCCTTGGCCATTTCATAGAAAAAGAAGTGAATGAATGCTTAAGTTACGATTCCAGTTTAATTTTGGTAATAAAGGCTAAAAGCTGAATTCTGAGTGTAGTATTGTGACAACTGTTGATTGGAATAAAACTCCTTGGCCATTTCGTAGAAAAAGTGAATGAATGCTTAAGTTATGATTCTGGTTTAATTTTGGTAATAAAGATAAAAGCTGAACTCTGAGTATAGTATTGTGACAACTGTTGATTGGAATAAGCTTTGTTAATGTGAAGAGGCAAGACATTCTCTCACAGCTCGGCGATGGGCTCTCTTGGATGCACTGCAAGAGAAAAATACTGCTGTGATAGATGCCTGCATGAGGAATTCTCTTCCTCCCTTCTGCTCCTGCACTGCTATGGTGCTAAGTGGGAATTCTGTCCTCATCTGCTGCTGTCTGGTTGTGCGGCCTCATAAAACAGGGACTGCAAAGTGTAAGGCACTTGCCTGCTAAGAGTTGCAGCAGCATCTGCGAGGCAGCCTGCCTGCTACTGCTGACCCGTTTGTGAAGGCTGGTGGATGGTGAGGGACAGGTCTGGAGAGTCTTGCTCAGATGGTGACTTGAGAATTTCCGAGTTAATGACTGGATTTGCGTGGAGGAAAAGGTTAAGTGGATAATGTTTTGAAGAGAGGATTGAGAGTAGGCACAAGCATGGTGTTCATTCAGGGATGTTGTGTGTGCTGCTGACAGAGATCGAAAAGCTTTGAGGAAGCCAGTCATTTAAAATGTTGGTGGTACCTCAGTACCTGGAGCTCCTCACAGTTAAAAGCATCTGTGATTCATACTGCTCAGTGAGTTATTTCAGCCCTGAAAAGCAAGCTGTTATTTAAAATTTCAATTAGAGTACTAATTTCATTTGAATTTTGAGAGGAAGAGTCAGTTTTCAGTCTACCCTATCTGAAAATCCAAAGCTGTTGAACTACAGAATACAGGTAAAACAACTGTTTATACATGAACTGTTGCGAACAGAAAAATAAAGATACAGGTTGGCATGAACAGATCAAGTCATCTGGGCAGCAGAGCAGCAGATTTATCTAAGCCGGTGTTGGATATAACCCGCTGGTATTCACTGTAAGACATGGCATATTCTTAGTCCTTCTTGTGAATGTCTGCATTGGAATTCAGCAGACAGATTTTTTTGAATCTTTTGTTTCTATCTAAAAGTTCTGTTCAGACTCATATGCGTGTCCAGAAGTAATGTAATATAGTCTTCTCATCTGTAAAAATAAAAATTACTTTTAAATAATGCAATTTTAAGAATCCTAAATGAAAAAAAAATACTGAAAAACCTTGGGTTTATGTTGTGTATGTTGGGCTTAATCTCCTCTCATTATAGCTTAGAAAAATAACTTTTAGAATGATAAAAAAGGAGTATATAAAATATTTAGTAATAGATGTCTTAGCTGTGCAAGCCCTTAATTCTAATACCTGTCTAATTTGTTTTCAAATACTGAGTTATGCTATCGTTGTAGAAAACAGTACCATATCTATTTGAAAAAAAACTGACAGGAGAAAAGTGGTGGCTTTTGGTGTTGTAAAATTCACTTTAAATAAATAATATTCATATTGAAAAATTTTCGTGTCACAGAATAATCATCGCTGCTTAAATTGTAGATTAGAAAGCAGGATGAAAGCCGTGTTATTGATACCTCACAAAATAAATGAGTGGTGGTCCTTGATTTGCCTCTTCTTTTGTAATAGTTGTAAGGGTTTAAAATGGATTGATTAGTCTAAATGTGATATTGTAGAACCAGAAGGAAGATTACACTATGGCATAAGTTAAAATTTTTTACGGTATGTTTTTCTATTCCGTGCTATAAATACAAAATGTCTATAACAATAAACTTCATTAGTATGGGCTGCCATGATGCTTTATAAAAGATGGTTGTCTTAGTGTTATTGTCAGTTGACTTTTTATTTGCTACATGGGTTCTTGCAATAAACCTTTCTGTGTAGTTACAATATATTCAAATTTTTAATTCGGAAGTGTTATGTCTTATATTGGAGGGAGAAGGCTCTTGCTGTCATACCAGCAAAACCAGAGTTATCTAGGTGAGGTAGAGGAGACTAAAAGAAAGAGCAAGCTCACCAGCACTGCTTAAACGGAATCCAGACCTCCTTAGCTGAAGGTCGAATGCAGTATTATTTTATTCTGACAGTGCTTTATTACATGACTTCAAATTATGCAAAGCTTTAACTCTTTGTTTTTCCCTGGGGTGCTGATTTGAGAACAGGATCTATTTTTCTTTCTTCATAATTTATTCAATTTTTCAGTATTTCAGCAAACATTTCTCTGGAGTCCGAAACACTGCATAAGATGTTGTGGGAAGGTTGGTGGGTTTTTTGTGGTTTTTAATCAAGGGAATAAGGAACGATTATGGTTATGTTGGCTTTGTGTGGGGTTTTTTTTTTTTTGAGAGAAATATCTCTAAGGGCCAAATTTTAGGTAAAGAAAACAATAAAGAAGGAAGTTAGGATGAAATCATTAGTTTTCTTTTATATATCCTGCTATGTATTATCTGGACACTGGGGTAGATGAAAATTTTTAAATTAGCATGGGTTGATTCTTTTTTTGTTGTCATTATTCTTATTTAAATCAAGACTGATCTTAGTTTTGATCTTAGTCAGCTTTAATCCTGGATTGTGTATGCGGTTTTTAATGACTATACACTTCTTTAATCAAAACTTCCCTTGAAGTAAAAATTGAAGTTTCCTTTACTTGCTGCAAACTATTTTTCTTCATTGCTTAGAGGCCTTGATCAAAATTGGACACTGTCAGTGTTGATATGTAACTGTGAAACGTCTTTTACTATTGCCTCATATCCTGTGAAGGAAATAGAGCATTTCAAGCAAAACAGGAGATAATGTAGTTATGTGAAAATGTGACGATGAGCAGGATACTGCTACCGTCTATTCAGCAAGCCAGACTTACTCTAATACTTAAATTCTTCTGTGATTTCTAACATGATTTGTGTGGGGTGTCTTGTTCATTTGTTTTATCTAGCTGACTCTGGCTCAGAGGTCTTTTTTTTGGTCTTTTTTTGCTATAAAACCTCAAGTAAGGAAGAGTGGTTTCTTAATAATGATTTTTTAATGTGTAGAGTCCCATATAAGTTATGTCTTTGTCTTTGCTTGACTGTAAAGTTTAACAGTAGCTATCCAGTGGCAGAATTCTTTCAAATATGTTGTTAAAATGTACCAGAGAACTTCTATGTAAATAGTAATTGTAGTCATTAATCGTGTTATGTTTTGTGTTGCTTCTATGGGTAAACAAAAAGGCTTTGTATTATGGAATGATCATGTTTGGACTTTGCATTTACTTGTCTTAACACAACACTAGGAGATGATAATTTTATTGAATGTGGTCAGGTATTTCTGTTGTTGATATATTGTAGTAGTTCTTCACAAAGTTCTAAAGTGTTGTTTGTGTTTTTTTTATTTTTTTCCCCCCTCACCAGACCTTAATTTATTTTGGATTAGGATTCCCATGGCATGTGAACTAGAAGATAATTTGAAATAGAAGGTCTCTTTGTTTTGAAGTGACAGTCTTTATCAAAATGGTTGGAAAACTCAAACAGAACTTGCTATTGGCATGTCTGGTGATCAGTTCAGTGACAGTGTTTTATTTGGGCCAACACGCTATGGAGTGTCACCATCGAATAGAAGAACGCAGCCAGCCTGTGAGGATGGAAAGTATGAGAAGCACAGTAAGAACTGCTTCCAATGTGAATGCAAACAAAACCTTTGCTTACAACAAAGACATGCCTTTAATATTTATTGGAGGAGTACCTCGAAGTGGCACTACCTTAATGCGTGCCATGCTTGACGCCCACCCGGATATTCGATGTGGAGAAGAGACAAGGGTAATCCCGCGAATTCTGGCAGTTAAGCAGATGTGGGCTAGATCAAGTAAAGAGAAGATCCGACTGGATGAAGCTGGAGTCACAGATGAGGTTCTGGACTCAGCCATGCAAGCATTTCTATTGGAAATCATTGTGAAACATGGGGAACCTGCTCCATATTTGTGTAACAAAGATCCTTTTGCTTTAAAATCCTTAACTTATCTTGCTAGAATTTTCCCCAATGCCAAATTTCTCCTAATGGTACGGGATGGTCGTGCATCTGTGCATTCCATGATCTCTAGAAAAGTCACAATAGCTGGATTTGACCTTAACAGCTACAGGGACTGCTTGACCAAGTGGAATCGAGCTATAGAAACTATGTATAACCAGTGTATGGAGGTTGGTTTTGAAAGGTGTATGCTAGTACATTATGAACAGCTCGTATTGCATCCTGAAAGATGGATGAGAACTCTCTTAAAGTTTCTTCGCATCCCGTGGAACCAAGCTGTGCTGCACCATGAAGAAATGATTGGAAAAGCAGGGGGTGTTTCTCTTTCAAAGTGAGTATGAGCGTTCCTCCTTTACCTTGTATTGTTCTAAGAGGTAAAATAGTACATTTTGCATATAAAAGACTAATCAGAACTTGATTTCAGTTTTTAAGTAGCTAATGATGTCTCAGGAAGCTGATTTGTGATGCATATTGTCTGGAAAATAAGAATCATTGTTAACCAACAATTTGCAATCTCGGATTGCTCCCATTAAACGATTGTCCAGCTCATGTGTATGGAGCACATGAACGAACTTTTAATTAATGTTCAGTCTAACTCAAATTTGGATGTCTAGTATCAGCCTTACTTCCAACATAGCTTTACTTTTCTCTGTGCCCCAAAATACAGCTGGACTGTTTTATCTAGACGGGTGTTATTCATCCTAGCAAGTTCACCCGTTCGATTTCAGGAACTCAAGTATTGTCAAGGCAAGAATGGCCTTTGAGTTGTATTTGCCAAGAACATACTCTTCCAGGAAACTTGAGAAACTGTTCCAACAAAATAGAAAGCAGAATTGGCATGCTTTTCTGTTGGCGTGTGCTCCTAAAAGGACAAACATTTTGAATAAAATTAACCTTGTTGTAAGCAAATCTCTTGGTGTTCTGTCGTGCCATCTGTGCACCTGATTTAACTACTTTCAGAAACCAAAATCCAGCTCTGCTTAGAAAACCTAGATAGGTATTGTGGGGAAAAAAATTAGTTAATTCTCCAGTTAAACTACTCTGGTTTCTTTGCTACTATGTACAGCTGAAGAACTGAAATACAGAAGCTGTCTAGTCTTTACATTGAGGAGGAAAGCTGTGAATGTTTGAATCTGTCTTTCTATTTTTGCTACGGCAGATACATCTACCAGATTGTCTTATTTGAGTTTCTAAAATATTGATTTAAAAGCCCTATTCCAGCAGCGAGGCATGCCCAGTTAAATTCCTTGGCTTCTGTTTTTTGAATATTCATCACTGGCCTAGTGCTCCTGAGTAACAGAGGCACCTTGCACAGCAAGCAGTGTGCGCTGGGTAGAGAGATGTCAAACTGTAGAATACAGAGTGAATCCATTTTTTTAAAAACTGCAGTTTTGAGAAATAAAAATTGGGAGATTTTGTTTAATTAATTCCTAGGGAAGTGACTGTGGATTTTCTAATACGTTGCAGGGGAATACGATTTACAGCAAATCATAGAATCATTAGTCAGCGGCTACGAAGAGAACTTAAAACTCAGATAATGGTTATATATTTACAATCTGGAGGTTTCATGTCACTATTCCCACCGAAGAAACACAGCCACCACCACTGTGTATGCAGAGCTATCAAGAAGGCATCTCAACCCTTTTTTTTTTAGTATTGTTCGTTAGCAGATTGGAACCTTCTGATGACGTTACCCTGAAGCTGTGTACTGTTTTATGTCTCTGCAAACTGTATCTGCGTGTGAACTTCTCTTTAGTTACCTGTATCATGTTACTGCTTCACAGTGGCAGCTGAGGGGGGGAGTGAACGAACTTTTACTAATATAAATAGGTGGTTGCCAAGTTCTGTGGAGTGTCCTATAAAAATAACTATGCATAATGCCATTTCTGGTAAAATGTTACCTTACAGCTTCCAGATTAGCTTTTTTAAAAATTAACGGACCCCTGTACTATAAAACTCAGTAGCCTTACTGAATTCATACAGTTTCAAGTAATATTTATTGCTAAATCTGGTGGAATGGGATGTGAAGAGTCGAGAGCACTTGTTCATGTCTCTAAAAATTAAGAAAATAGATTGCTGAAGTAAAATGTGGCTTCATGTTTATTTGTGAATCAAAGCTTCAAATTTAAGACAGTATGAAAGTGGTTTTGTGACCCTCAATACAACCTGTTCACGGACTTCTTTATGCTTTTACTATCCCTCGTGAGACGATATGTGAAAGTAATTTATTATTTCTGAATGCTCTGGCAACAGTGGAAGAAGGGGCTATTAGTGTTATGTCTGTGGTGTTTTTATCTAACCAAATACCCTTGAAATAGGGGGTGAGATTTGTCTTTCTGTTGCAAGAGACCTTTACAATTTGATAATGATTTCAGTGACTCAGTCTTTCGAGGGCTGGAGAAAAAAAACAGTGAATATGAAATTCTTTAACTTAGATGTCTGTTTTGTGTGTTTATATGATACTAATTGAAATTGTGCAGGGGCAGCTTGAGGTTCCCCAATTTGATTTCCTTGTACCAGTTAAAACCTCCTCCTGCTTCTGGCATCCCCAGCTCCTCACTGCCCTCTCCTGTGCAGCAGAGTGCTGAGGACAGGGACGGCTGCCTGTCTAGGGCATCCTTGCCCAGAGCAGGGGGTAACTGCCCAGGAAAATTACTCTTTGAAAAGATGCTTGCTGGGTAGTTTATGGAGAACTTTGGAGTCTGCCACAGCTTATCGGATTTTGACAGCTGAACAAAATACACCTTGCAGCAGACTTAGTTTTCCTTCTATCAAGTTGCGTTTGGCTTGTTCTCAGATGCAGCAAAATTCTTTATGGCCTTGGGTGTGTGTGGCTGTTATGTTCTGGGTCAGGTTCTAACCAATGCTATTCTCTTATGACTTTGAATTTCTCTTTGGGCTTAGCGGACAGTGCTCTTTACTTCACAGTGTGAACGCTGTCTTCTTTCAGTTGAAACAACAGAATCTGGAGCAGTGGTGCTCCATATTCTGGTCAGTAGCTTTCTCCCACCTGACTTGCCAAAGGGACGGTGCTGAAGATCACTTCAGAGATAATCTAAGGAAATTCAAAACGCTGCTGTCTATTGCATCTCTGACTTTTCACAGAGCTTTAATTTACCACATGCCTGGTACCAAGTGCTTCAGACTGTTTCATAATAGTATATTAAAATCAGAACACTCAAATTATATTACAGGTTTTACTGGCAGGAGGAGAATATCACAAGTGCTAAATCATCTGTATTGAAATGCAATGTTCTTTTAAAAGATACCACCATGTAGGCCTAGCCTGTGTAGCATGGTAGAGACAGTATGAAGATCTAGATAAAATTAGTTCCCTAGTTGTTGGCAAGGAATTTGGTAAGGTAGAAATCCTCTGAAGTCAGAGAATGAACTACTGTTATAAACTGCGAAGGCTGTGATACTGTGTAAAGACTTAAGAAAATGAGCAGAGAAACATGCCTTAATTATCTTTCACTCACCATTGAGACTTCCAGACCTTTCAGACAGGCTAAGCATCCACATTAGAGGCATGATGCCTGCTCAGGTCAGGTCCAACATAAGATGCCTGGAGGTGTTTTAACTGTTGGAAGGTTTTTGAAAAGAAATCTGACAAGAACTTGTTGTCTTGAAATATTTAAAAACATTTTGAGAAAGAGATTGCAGTATTGCTAGAAGATTTTTATGATGATGTTATTACCTGGTAACAGAAGGTAGATGTTTACGAATATATTTTTCACTCATCCAAAATCAAAATTAACTCTGTCAAATGAAATCTGTATCAGATGGAACGAGGCTCTAGGTTGGTCTGAGATATTTTATTTTCAGCTGTGTACAGAATTAAATTGTGTGTGCAGCTTGTTTCTCTTCCAGAGATGAACTAGCCACCTGGCTTGCAGAATTCTTTGGCAGCGAGCTTACTCCATTTTTCTCTTACTGCAAACTCAAACCTTACGCAATAGTCTGTTAATAGGAATATTAGATACTAGACAACCTGTATTTAAGATTCTGACTTTGTTCCCCTGGCTGCGTGATTTGAGGAAGCCGGTGGCTGCCTTATTTTCTTCTCCAGCATTTGCTTAGCAATCCCTGCTTTTTCTGTTGCTGATGCAGCCCTAACCTCACCGTTGTTCTATTTTGCTCAGTATTTTCACCCCTTATTTTGCTTTTTAATCCAGCTGCAAGGAGAAGCACTCCAAGGGTTTTAAGGATGTGCACCACAGCATTTGTAGTAGCAGGAAACCTTCTGTGGTTTGAAGTAATTGCCAACGTGGCTGTTCAAGGAATGTGTTATGGCTGGACTACATGCTATAACTAGTATTGTTAATGTAGCTCTGGCATTTTCCTCCTAACTGAAAACAGCTGTGGTGACCACTGATGCAAAGAAATGTCAGCCCTTTTATAGCAATTTTTATTATCCTTATTACGAAAATAGCTGTCTAGGCAAAATTACTTCAGAATATACTATTTTTAATACATACCTTTCATTTGATTCTAGTACAGATGTAGAATTATTTAGGGTTAGTCCTGTGTTCCATGCTACCAGCTGCTTTCAAAGCTGAAACTGGTGCTGCGGTTTTGCAGTGGAGCCTGGAAGCACTGACCAGGCAGCATTTGCCGTATGCACACATAATCAAATTTGCCAAGACTTGGTATGTTTCCTAGTTTTGCAATGTTTGGGTTTTTTGATGTTTCTTTCCTCCTGTCCCCCATCTGTCTTCCCCCATACTCCTCTGATGTTCTTTCGTGGGAAAGATCTTCAGACCAATTGTGGTTTACTTTTCTTCCCACCTTAACTGAAAGGACAGAAAAGGATTTAAACAGAAGACCAAATGTGGTATAGTATATTTTTGGATTGGTGCCTAGGAGCAGCTAAATGTAGTTCCCTGCTTATCTCTTGCCAGCTATTTATTGCCAGGAAATGTTTCATGCTGAGCTTATTGTTACCAAAGACTAAAATGACAGTGGAGCAAAACGTACACATTTTAAATGTGCTTTTACTTCAGGACTAGGTATCCATATGTACTAATTTAGGTCCTAATTGATGTATAGCACCCATTGTTTTGGGGTTCCAATAAGCTATTAGCCAAGCCTATTACCTGGTTCTCATAGTATCACCCTTATTTTAAATGGTGAAATCAATCTGCGGTTTTGGTGAAGGGATTTTGGCTTGGCTGGCACTGTCTGAGAGGGAGAGAACAGTAAATCTGACACTTTTCAAACACGTAGTGATAAATTTTTCTTGAGGGTCCCAGTCAGCATGGTTCTACAGACTCCTGACTGTTGTGATGCTTTGTCCTCTGCCTTGCCACTTTGAACTTCTGAAACTCAACTGTTAACAGCTATTTTCTTGCTAATTTGTTGTGAAGTTGGATGCTCATCTTCTAATTAGAAGGATCAAAAAGGCAATGCCCAGACTTTTTAGTTTGCTATGCAGACTTGTGATCTCAGGCCAGCAGCCTTCAGGAAGGCTGGAGTTTGGTTGCAGCTCCTTGGTCCCAAAATCTCATTCTGAGTTTCAGCCTTTGGTTTGAGCTACTGAAAATGGTTGAAGAGAGTATGCCTGAAAATTCTGGGGCTTGTCTTACCCTTTTAGGGTTTTTTTCCTATTTGTGAGGTGCTTACTCATCAGCTTCCATTAAACACCTTTTGCAGCAATCTGTAAAGGCCCTGCTTGCCAAGACAGTTTCCCCACGGGTGACCATTTCCCTGTCTGTTTGTTCTTTGTTGATTGTGTTTAAATTACTTAAGTTACTGACCTTCCAGCATTGTATGACTAACTTCCTTCCTCTGTCCTGGAAGAATTTTAGCTATGATGACAAGTAAAAGAGAGTAACAAGGTAAAGACGGGTATTAAGATCAAATTCCATTAATGACTGGCAGACATGCATCCATAGTGTTTAAATTAAGGCTTTCATTGCACAGTACAATGTGCATCTGAGTGGGATGGCTCTTGCTATTGATTTAGTGTTTGCTGTGCAACAATTCTTCAGCCTCTTCTTGGACTCCTGAGGTTAATTAGATAAATGTAATCAAACTTGTTCCTTTTGTAAGTTGACTGATGTCAGTCTTGAGAGCAATCTGAGGCTTCTGGACTCAGAAACTATCAGGAGTAGTTCAGGAAATTTCCATTTATTTTTCTCAGAAGATGTTTTCTCATTCTGCCTGCTGTATAACTGAAGAATTAGCTGGTTGAGAATTAATTTGAATCCCAGTGTTCTCATTCTTATCTTGTGTAGATGAGATACTGGTGTTATACTTTCTACTGTTACTTTCAAGTATAACCATACCGTTTCCTAGGTGGTAGAGCTTTTTGAGATCAAAATTCTTTATGATGTAAATAAGGCCCGGGAAGGGTGATAGCTGCAAGTGGATGTGACAGCTGTGTGCTTAGCATCAGGCTGGAGGCAGGTATAGCCAGCCAGCAGGAACTACCAATATAGTGGCATGCCTTATGGTATTACTTGCAATGCAGATGCAAATATTCCTTTAGGCAACTTGTATATACAGACCTGATTTTTAATCTGCCTTAAAAGAAAGACAAACCTTGGCATCCAAAATGCACATGTACTCTTTCTGAGTTCAGAAAAAAGTTTTAAATTACTCAAAGTAAAAACTTGCAGAGTTTTAAATCACTCAACCTGTTCTGCATCCTGCTGGCCTGTTTCAGAAATAAACAGAGTAAAGAAGTTGTATGTCTTCTCATGTAAAAGAAGCAAGGAATGTGGGAAAACAAAGTGATGCCGGATTTCTTCCCTTGGGGGGAAAAAAAAAACCCAACAAACCAACAAAAACACACAACAAAGCTAGGGTGCAGGAATGAAAATTACTTTAGGGCTGTTGATTAAATGAGCAACAAATCAACTCTTTTCTAAGTACAGTACATATGACACTGCTATGATTATGCGTTGCCTTTAAGAACTGTGTAATGACCAAACAATCAGTAAAAGAAATGGTTATGAAAAATATTATTGCAGTCTATAGTTTTCTGTCATTTCCATAGTGTGCTGTTTTATTTATTATTACCAAAAAAAAAATGTAGTCGCAGTGGAGGGGGGGGGGGAATGAATGGCATGTGGATTTTAATTTAGAATACAACTTTCAAGAGTGTTTAAGATAATGAAACAGTGCATGTGGTAATATGCCAGTAGGAAAACAGCTTTATATGTAGGTGTGTGCATACTTTTAACTTAACAGCTCTTTGGCTTTCACTGCTGTCTTCATGTAAAGAACTTGCTTTAGTATCTTCTGTGTGAAAGCCTAAACCAGAAAGCACGTATGAATGTTGTGCTAGTTATTCCCATTTTAGACTTACATAGTAGAACTTCACTTCCCATCAGCTCTGTAGAAACATGAAGTTTTGAAAGGGGAAGAAGAGGAAGGGAAAAAACAAGCAAAACAAGCTAAAGGTCTTCAAGCTAGTGAAGAAGCAGGTATTGGTTGGAGTACAAAAGATAACCTTTCTTCCTCCACAGGGTTGAAAGATCTACTGACCAAGTTATCAAGCCAGTCAATGTGGAAGCACTGTCAAAGTGGGTTGGGAAGATACCTGCTGATGTTCTGCAAGATATGCCCGTGATTGCACCAATGCTAGCAAAATTGGGCTATGATCCATATGCCAATCCGCCAAATTACGGAAAACCAGATCAAAAAGTTGTGGAAAACACAAGGAGGGTAAGGCATTTTTGTGTGTTTAATTATTGACCAAATGGATGTGAGCTATAGAGCAGAAGAGTCTCGTGTTTTGTTTTGTGCCTTTTAAGTCTGTTTCTAATACCTTTTGATACTTAGTAATACGTTTTCCTTGCCGCGGGGGGAAGAAACAAGAATTCTGTGGGACCTTGAGCATTGAAACTCTGGCTCTTGCTGTTTGTCTTCAGTTTGGTTCATCTTCCTTTACCCCAACCCCAGGCTTGAGCTGTGTTCTTTGGTGGATGTAGCTGAACCTGTTGAGAATTGTCTAGATAGTTGGGGAACTAGTTAGTAGTGGGGAAAAAAAAAAGCTTTCTCGCTGGGCATCAGACTGGATTGCTGAGCTCAGCTTTTTATACATGAGGGTTGGCAGAAGCTCTGTCACAAAATTACATGCTAAATACATGGTAGAATTTGAAAAGTGACCCATGGAAAATGGCCCAAGATGATCAACATACCAGATTTTCCAATTCTTTGCTGACCTTTGTAGAACAAACAAAAGATGGAGGAAGGTCTGATGCTGATTAACCTAAACTTAAGGATTTTAGTCTGAATTTAATGTTGTTGGAATTTGAGTAGTTAGGCTATACAGCTGTTTAACCCTGGAGGTATCTGTTGAAAAGCTCATTACGATTGTTTGAAATAAGCATAATTAACTCTTTACTTCTGTTGAGAATATATACTTTATTAAAAGAAGGTGAATTTTGCTGCTGCAGCAAAGTAATCATTGGAAAAATTGAGTTAAATAATTTAAAAAGACTGTCTTCCACTAGCCTTCCAATATCAAAAAAAGCCTGGTTGGTATGCTGATGGGCTAGATACTAATGAAAAGCTTTTTGTGAAGTCTGTAAACATTTTTGCATTATTTCTTCATAGAAGCTCTCCCTGGGAAACTTTCATTAAACAGTTGATCAATGTATTAAAGGATGGTAGGTTGACTATTTTTAATAGTTGTTAGCTCATCACGGAAAAGGTAACCCACCTTTTCTGGTTGGGGCAGTGGTTAGCATTTCACAACTTTCCTGATACTTACTGTTTTAAAAGGCTCACAAACAAACTAACTTTTCTGCACTCAATTCAACCTCTTAAAAAAACCAAAAAGTTCAATACTACTTCATGGATCCTTGAAAACAAAATCCTCATGCAGCTATCCATACATACTACAAACCGGTGACTCAGATACAAATTTGTATTGTAGTGAAATAATTCAAGATTGATTATCTCTTACAGATACAATTTAAATAATTTTTTACAGTATGGTGACCTTTCTGAGGCTTCTACCTGTGCATTGCAAGCTCAGTCTGAGTTGAAAAAATTGTATGGATTTCAGTCACTTACTGCTGGGTGGCTTCTTGAAATCTATTTCAATTCAAAATGCAAGAGAGAAATTCAGGTAATAAACAAAGCCACAAGCATACCTTTAAAAAAATTAAAGCCTTATTTAAAAGGCTAAAGTGTATTGAGGCTTTTTCACAAGTTTGCTTTGAAGCATGATTAGTTTGTTTACTAATGTTAAAAACAGCTGTGAAAAATGGGGAGTTACTGTTACAATAGCCGATCCAAATATTGCAAGCATATGGAACACTTGTTAATATTTTGACTGCTGTTTTAATTGAGTAGTTTTACTTACAGCCCAAGATAGCATTTTAATTTTGTTATTTATTGTCATACCCAGCATGTATTTTCCTAGTCGCTTGTCCTTTAACACAATTACTTTTGCATACTTGGTTTGTATAGATAAAATGAGGGAGATGTCCTGAATTAAGACTAAAATCCAGAAAAGCAAAAGCTAATCTTCAAAACTTACAGTATTCCTTTTGAAAATGGAGAAACATGAGGCTTTCAGAATGTCATGTACCCCAAGGAGCCATTTAAAATGATGGCTCAAATCAGTGTTCATGTTTAGATTTGGACAGCTTTAATTCCTCCCCAGCCACTTTGCTTTGTTTCCTCCCAGCTGGTTCCCAGCACATCCCTGCTCGGACCACTGGGTCCTTTCTCTGTCACTGTGGAAAAGTTGATGTCCTGACTTCCTAGGGTTTCAAGATTTAAGGCTTCCCAACTCCCACACCAGTTTGCTGCTTAGGTTACCTAATTCTCAGGACAGGAGGCTCATCACCTTCTCCAGGAGTGCCAGGCTTCCTGGCCATCATGCATCTTGTGTAGTAAATTGCCAAAATGCTGGCCATTGAGCTTGGCCTTAAACCAGGTAAGTTCTGAAATAACTAATATTCTGGATGGTGATCAGTGAGAGCTGACTCATTTCTGAAAAATGCTTTGTTTTGTTTTCACCACAGTTTTATTTTGTTTTTTATTTGGGGATGGGGGACAGAGATTTCAAAACGCTTTAAGGTATTTGGGAAAAGTCAGGGCGCGGGAACTCTCATGCATTAGTTTTGGCCATCGGGGATAGCATATGCAGTCCTGGGGGTTTCCCTTTCTCTGCTATGAATATATGCTAATTTATTTCTTGCTGCTGCAGCTTGGAGGGAGAGCGTTTATTTAAATAAATAAATAAACTTCTTGATCTAAATTTTTCCAGCCTTTAGGAACTGGCACTTGACAAGTGTGTTGTTGCACACTCTTAGCTGGTGAATTTGTAAATTACTATAACACTACTTTTATTCTTGCTCTCTTTTCAAATTTCTTCACCTGGGATAGTCTTTCACAGAGTTTTGTACTGGGTACATTGTTGGAGATGAAGCTGTCCAAATAAAATCTTTCCAAAGTTACTCTTCAGTACATATGAAGAATATATATAAATCTTGCATGTAACTGTTCATGGCTTCACTCTGTGTTTGGAAGCTGTTCTATTGTATTTATATTTGTGGTCTCCGAGAACTTTAAACTGAACACAGAACTTGAATTTTATTAATTGAAAACAGATTAAGTTTCGACTTCTAAAGCTGAACTATATTGTGTTAGTATAGTAACCCCTTAGAGTGACTAACTTGAAATAATGTTGAATTATCTGACACTTGCTACTCTGATACCATCATAGTTTCTTACTCCATTTAAAATGGCATGAGCTAGCACTTAATATGAAGGAAGTTGCCCCTGTCTGGCAAACAGAAAGCAATAGTAAGGGAGAAGGACTGATTTTTTTGTGTGTGTGGTTGGGGGCGGGGGGGGGCGAGTTTTTCGGTTTTGGGGGGGTTATGTAATGCTGGCTTAAATTAATTGTGGAAGTTGCAACAACAGGGTGGAAGCCCAACACCACTGAGATTACTGGCCAGAGAGATTCTGGCTCCACCTAAGGATGGAACAACACTGCGTCATCTAGTTCATTGCTATCAGATATGTTAAAAAACAAACAAATGAGTTCTTGTTGTTACGGACAGTTCTTGTTTTGTATGATTAAAAGAATTGTTATACTGTACATACAAAATCATAAAGATAAGTGGAATGAAAATATGGAAGTCGGTCAGGTTGCAAAACATACTTGTAGCTAGAAAGTCTCTTTTGAATGCAGACAAGTCAGTATTTTATGACTAGAAGTCTGTGTATTGCCCAGTTGTAGAAGATAATTTAGAAAGATGCCATACTGCACAATGTCTTTGTTCTAAGATGTGCTTAAATGCTGCTTGTAGAACTGCATTTATACTACACTGCGCTAACTGCACTCAGCAAAATCTATCACTTCTTGGAAAAGACTGTAAATTAGACTTAACAGTGAAAATACTGTTCAGCAATTACAAAGCTGCTGCTGTTAGTCCCGAAGGTAAGAACCAACAGTGTAAGGGTGCCTAAACCAAGAGCTAGTACTAGAGAAAAATGGAAAGGAATGGCTGGTGTGGTGCAACATATTAGCTTCCACTAAGCTTTCTAAGCAGTGAAGTCCTGTTCTTGTTTTTTTTATTCCTCTTTTCTCATTTTTCTGCCCCCCCGCTCATGACTTCCATATGTACAGGTTAAATTTTTTTTTTCTTCAGTCTGGAAACAAAATGATGATTCTCACCAGCTAAAGTACAGTGCTTGAATTAGAATTTCTGTGTGCTTGTAGGTAATGCGGGGAAAACAATGCGCTCTGCTAAATTTGGATTTTTCACTTTAATGTTACCTGCCTAGGACACCAAAATGGTTAAGGTGGTTTTTTGTGCTCCTGTAGCACAGCACAAAAAATAATAAGATGCACCCAGTGTTCGTAGTTTGTCATCTTAGTTCTGCTTGTGTTTTAGGAAGTACTGAGTGTGAAGCTAACTTCTTATGTTGGTCTCCAAGTGCTATGTGGTGTTATGAAGACATCTCTGACTGTATCTGCACTGGTGGAATATGAATCTAACATGAGTATAACAGATTTTTCTGATGTTTTCAATAACAAAGCCATTAACTTTTTATCTGTTTTATGTGAGGCCTGACAATATTATCTTTTATGACACTTTATCTTGTCTCAGTTAAGGAACGCAGAGCAGAGAGACCAAGGTCTGAATAGTGTTGCACTATTCAGCACATCTCTGCATGTGACCCCCTCAAGAGGCAACCTTTAGTTATTCAGTCACTGCAGGATTGTGCTATCTTGTGTTTTTCTTGTAAGTCTGTTGCTGATCTATTCATTTTATTATAATGATTACAAAGGTCTGTTCCTTATAGATACATAACTGACTACTTTTTTTCCCCCACTAGAGTTTTAACAAATTCTACATCCTGAACATAAAGGAAAATAACATCCTGTAACTAAATGGAGTTTTCATCTGCAAATAGTGCAGAAAATGCAAATAATTAAGCTGTCTGAACTGGTAGCCCAATCACTATATGATGAATTACAAAAGTAGAATCACTCCACGTTAGAAGTGTGTCTGATACGTCTTTGTCAATATTGTGAGTTTGTGTAAAATTGTATGTCAGCAGTTTAACAGAATATACCAAAAGTGGAGAACAGCTCATAACTGCGAGACTGTGACTTATGCCCAGTAGAAACTGGCTTATTGTTATGTTATGATTGGCTAAGTGGTTTCCTCTCGCATCTGTAACATGTTACATCA